TATTTTTTTTATTCTTCTGCTGCGTGCCACGTTCTCAGTCCAAATGATTCGCCGCTCCGGCCAGGAGTTCTACCTTCTTCTTTGAGTGGTTTCCTGTTTGTTTCTTCTATCTGAATTATCTATGTCCGGTATCGAGACGCGTGCGCAGACAGCGAAAAGAGAGGAAAGGGAGAGAGAAGGTGTGCTGTTTGAGAGTGTGAGAAGGGGCAAGAGGAGTGTTCGTCCAAACGTCAAGAGAGAGCGGACCCCTCTTCAGAGTTCTACTAACACCCCTTCCTCCGGCATGGCGAACATCACATCTGACCAATGGCAGGCCATGCTGGATACAGCGGACGAGAGCCAGAAACCATTCTTTCAAAAACTGTATGATGATGTCGTGCAGAGAGAAAGGGAGGCAGCGGCAGCAGCTAGAGCCGCCGACATTGCTGATCAGGTGGCTCTCCTCCGGATCGCGGAAGCTAATGCTGACCGGTTCCGAGAGGAACTAGCTGCTGTTGTAGCAGCCTTGGTCCGACTGCGGACCTTGGAAGACTTTGAGTCTCGTATGACAGCACTTGAGCAGCGGAACGAAGAGCTGCAGGCTAAGGTGATTAGCCTTGAATAGTCTCAGTTGTCTGCCTCCCGCCCTCCTAACCCTCGATCTGCTGTAATCCCAGTCTCTCAGCCCAACACAACCCTCATTCCAAGGGCCAGCGGAATTGTGGTAAGTGCAGGAACCAGAGCAAGCTCCTCAAGCGGCAGCACCGGTAGTTCTGCACTGATCGCAGTCCCAAATGCAGGGACTTCAACCCAAAACGCCACAGTCCTTACTGGCGTTCAGTACAGCGGTCCCATGGTGGACAAGCGGGCGGCCACGCTGCCGTCCAAGTACGACGGGAAGGCAGACATCACCTCTTGGATTAGTTCCATGCGGTCATACTTCGAGGTCATGCGGACACCGCAGGAGGACCGAAGTATGATCATGGGAACTAATACCGAGCCTGCCGTACGAAACCACATTGAGCTCCAAGCTGTTGCTGCAGGCTATGCACGCATAGACCTGACTGATTGGCTGAAGGTCACCCCTGTTCGCACCCTTGAGGATCTTCTCCTTGACCGGTATCAGGATAAACATGCTGCGCTCAAGGCTAGACTGAAGCTTGAGGCCCTCAAGGGCCAAACATGGAGATCATCCATGCAGGCTTTGGGACAGCACCTGACTGGTCTATTCACCACTCCGGATCTAGGAATGACTGACGTGTCTTGCATGGATGTAGTCATGGGAGTGGCCCCTAAATAATACCTCTCCCTGCTAGCACTCAAGGACCATGCTACCTGGCGAGAGCTCATGAAGGACCTAGTCGACGTAGAGGCCAAGGACCTCCCAAGGCGCAAGAAGGCGCCCGTTGCAGGTGGGAAACCACAACGCAAGCGGTTTGGAGGCAGCAACCAGCTTGCACTGCATGATCATCGGGAGGCTGACTATCAGTCCTATGCGGATGATCTGCCTCTAGATGACGATCTAGAGTCGGACTCCGATACGGGCTGTTCCACATCAGCCATTGAGTGTGACCGAAATGATGATGAAAAACTTAATGCATTTAGAAAGACTGCTTCAAATAAGGGGCCTAACCGTGGTTCGGGTAAGGGAACTGTCTTTTTCCCAAAAATGCTAAGATCCCTAAGAAACCGGAGGACGCTTCTACCAAGCCTTGGGAAGCCCTCCGCATCAGCCAAAAAAAATAGGAAAGAAGGTCCAAACTGCGCGTATGCTTGCATTGTTCAAAGCCTGGGCATGTTGTGCAGGATTGCTATCGTCTTCAGGGAAACAGGCAAGGGGCGTAGAGGAGACATCAGCACTCTCTACAACAAGAGAAGCTGAGCAGTCAGTTGCAGGCCCCTCCGAGGAGCCTGGATCTGATCAGCAGCGTGCTCTTGAAGCCCAAACTAACGCTGATTCCAAGGCTGAGACAGTCCAAGTGTTATACACTGAGCCTTGGGAGGAGTCTAAAGAGGTCGACCTCCACGCCCACATGGAGCATTGGCTGCAGCTCAAGCAGCAACGCCGTGTCCAAGGGAGCGTGGAGCTAACTTTCTTTAAACTGCTCATTAACCGCCGATACATCCGCGTGCTGATTGACAGTGGTTCGACCACTAACGTCTTCTCTCCGAACGGGATTCGTAAGGCGGGCCTGGGTATGAAGCAAGTGGAACTGTAGAACCCTTGCCGGACTCAGGTGGGCAACCAAGAGGTGGTCACTTCCACTCATGCTGTCAAAGGTGTGCGCATCACCTTTGACAAAGACCGCACTGTCACACACGAGCTGAATTTCTATGTCTCGGACAAGTGTCCTTTCGACGCGGTCATTGGCTTGGGCTGGCTAAGGGCTCATTGCCTAAGGACCACGTGGGCGGACAATCAGTTCGTGGTACTTGATGCCAAGGGGAACGAGCGTACCGTCTTACTAGATGAGACGCGCGAGTCCCCTGTGACTCTTCTAAGTGCTAACAAATTCTGCAGGTCAGTGCGCAGGCGCAAGGAAGCTGGGTTTGTACATATAGCTCTCGTAAAGCCTTTCCATGTGCCTTCTACTTTTGCTGCATTTTCTACCTCTGAAGGTAACTCTACCTCTACTACTTCTACTTTTGCTCCACCTACTTCTGTTGTAAATGATCGATCTAGTGCGGAACCAAATATTTCGAAACCGGTTGTAATTGTTGTAAATTCCCAATCTGATTTTTTCTCCCCAGATGAGGATGATCCTCCACCAGAAATCCCAGCGAACATTCGCCATATGTTAGATCGATTTCCTGAGGTATTGGCTGAGCCCCGCGGAGTTCCCGAGCGTCCAATCAAGCACAAAATCGAGATAATAGAGGGAAGCGTTCCTCCAAAGGGCTGCGTCTACAGTATGGGACAAGGCGAGTTGGAGGAGCTGCGGAGACAAATTGATGACATGATTGATCGTGGATGGATTAGGCGTAGCGAGTCTGAGTTCGGCGCACCTGTTTTGTTTGTGCCGAAGAAAGGTGGCAAACTCCGGATGAGCATTGATTATCGTGGTTTGAACCGAATCACAAGGAAGAATGCCTACCCTTTGCCTCGTATAGATGATCTGTTGGATGCGGCCGGTGGATGCAAAGTCTTCTCCAAGATCGACCTCAAGTCTGGCTACCACCAGATTGAAGTTGATCCGAGCGACCAGCACAAAACTGCGTTCAAGACACGTGATGGACTGTACGAATTCATCGTTATGCCCTTCGGCCTTACGAACGCACCAGCCACATTTCAATCCCTCATGGATAAGGTACTCCGCCACCAACTTAACAAGTTTGTGGTTGTGTATCTTGATGACATTTTGATTTTCAGCAAGTCAATGGAGGAGCACGTCAAGCATCTCGAGGAGGTCTTGCAAGTCCTCAAAGATGCTCAACTGCACCTCAACTTGGAGAAATCTGAGTTTGGCAGGGACAGCGTTATCTACCTTGGGCACCGGTTGTCTGCAAGCGGTCTTGAGCCGGAGGCAACCAAGGTTGAGGTCATCCGCAACTGGCCTCAACCGGCGAATGTACGCGAGCTGCGTTCTTTTCTTGGTTTGGCTTCTTACTACCGGAAGTTTGTGCCTAAGTTCTATGTCATTGCTCACCCACTCTCACGCCTGACTAGTAAGAATGTTGCCTATGCGTGGTGTGAAAAGTATGAGACTGCGTTCCAAGCCTTGAAAGAGGCTTTGGTGAGTCATCCTGTGCTCCGCATTGCGAATCCCAACCTCACGTTCGTAGTCACTACAGACGCGAGCCAGTTTGGGATTGGTGCAGTGCTGCAACAAGATGATGGTGATGGTCTGTGTCCGCTTGAATATTACAGCAAACGCATGCCCAGCCACAAGGTAGCCACTTCCACATACATGCGGGAGCTCTACGCCTTGCGCGAGGCGCTCACGCATTGGAAGCACTACCTCTTGGGTCGCCACTTCAAGGTCTATTCAGATCATCAGACCTTGCAATGGATTAAGACACAAACTGATCTCTCTCCAACTCTGACCCGCTGGCTGCATGACATTGATATTTTCAACTTTGAACTAAAACATAAGAAAGGTTGCTATAATCGTGTTGTTGATGCTTTGTCGCGCCATCCCGAGTATTTGACTTGCCTTGTGGGCTCGTACGACCTCCGGAGGAAACTGAAGGAGGATCTGGTCGAGCACACTGCCAAGGATCCAGACCTTAGTCCCATCCTTGAGCAGCTCAAGGCTGACCCCAACAGTCAGCCTGATTTTCATGAATGTGAGGGTCTTGTATTTCGCCGGTACGGAAAGTTTGACCGTTTGTGTGTACCCAACCATGCACCTCTCCAAACTCACTTCTTGGATCTGGCGCACGGTCGGAGTGGACATTTTGGCTTTGAGAAGACTTATGGAAGTCTTTTGCAACAATTTGACTGGCCAGGAA